CCTTTGACTGTTTCGGTCGTATATATACGTCTTACGAGCCACCGTTTTTGATGTATATATACTCATAAATTCTAGCGGCTTCAAATCAAGCAGGAGAAAGCTGGTAGGCCCACATGTGAGAGAATGGGTCTGTGTGGTCAGTGTGCACCATATAAAAAAAATCCTGCAGCACGCAGTGCATAATGAGAAAAAAAAACCTGACTGTGTTTTTGGATTAAAACACAGACTTTGTGGCATATTTTCATATAGTATTTATGGTTGTATTCTCATTTTCATCATCTCATTTTATAGAATAGAAAACATATTATAGAAATAGAGGTGATTTTGATTGGTTTTACTATGAAAAGAACCTTGAAATGGAGCTCAAAATAGGGGAAATATTTTATTTTTGTCGATGTTCAAAAGTAAACAAATGATGTCATTGTCCAATAAATGTCTAACTAGCCATTCTAAAATGCAGTCATGAATGGGTTGACATTATTTATACAATTATTATAATATTGCAGTAGTCTGCATAAAAGTAAATCTTCTATTTTTTGTTTGAATAAAAATTCAAAATAGAAGGCAAGAGTAATATCAGAGGGACCTGGAGATGTGACTCATGAACAAAGAAAATGTTATTTTAGAGCCAGGAATGCCTGCATTGTTCATTCTGGACCCTATTTTGAAATTGTCATATTTTTTATTTTGCGTGAAATTGGCCAAATTGCAAATCTCTGACCACGTTATTGGGTAGTTGTACTCAATCGATAAAACAAAAGGAATTCTAAAGAAATAGCTATGAGTTTGGTCAACTAGTACAATGGAATTAGCTGAAAATAGGGCTCAAATTGAGCGAAACCGCCGAATCGTAAATATCGCCGAGGTCGCTAACTTGACGAGAGCGTAATTCTGTAAGTTTTCCATCAAATTTCATTCTTTTGGTGTCGACACCAAGAGACACCTCAAGATTTGGGGTTACGACAGTCAAGGGGTTAATCCGTTCCAGCGGAATTCCTGCTCTCAGGAGGCAGGACAAAATATTGTGGACCCTCAGTTAACGACATTAATCCGTTCCAGAGAGCTTGCCTTTAACCGATTCTGTCGTTATCTGAATTAATTTTCCCACATAACCCTTTCAGGGTCCGTGCCGTACATCTACGGCTTAACGTTGAGGGTCCAAACTGTAGAACTACGCCATGAGCTCAGCTCACTCTGATAAGCTGTGAGCGGTAAATTTGGGCCTAGATATGAGAGAATACTTCTATGTGGTATGTGTGCACCACATAAAACGAATCCTGCAGCACACAGTGTATAATGAGAGGAAAAAAACTGAGACCGTAATTTTCGATTAAAACAGCGACTTTGTAGTGTTTTTTCGTATGTTTTTTATATTTGTATTTGCAATTTTTTGGTCTCATTTGATAGAATGGAAGATATATTACAGAACTAGAGATGATTTTCATTGGTTTTAGTACAGAAAATGGCTTGAAACTCAGCTCAAAGTAGCGGAAATGTTAAATTTTTGTCGATGTTCAAAAGTAAACAAATGACCTCACACATCTAATACATGCCAGCTGGTGGGTCTAATATACATTCACATATGTGCTGATATTATTTACACAGTTATTACAATATTGCATGGCAGTAAATCTTCGATTTTTTGGTCTGAATAAAAATTCATTATGCGAATTAAAAATCAAAATGGAATTCATTTGTAGTCTGAAAACATAACTAATGAACAGAAGAAATATTAGTTTAGTGCCAGGAATGCCTGCATTGTTTATTCTGGACCCTACTTTGAAATTGGAATATTTTGAACTCTGCACTAAATTGGCCAAATTACCAATTTCCAATCGCTTTATTTTGTAGTTGAAACAGTTGACTTGATGATTTCTTGTGCTCAATCGATAGAATAGAAGTAATACCAGTGAAATAGCTAAGAATTTGGTCGACTGGAATAAGGTAATTGTCCTAAAATGGGAGTCAAAGTCGGCAAAATCGCCAATGCGCAAATATCGCTGACACATCAAAATTTGCGAAAGTGTAATTTCGTCAATTTTCCATCAAATTTCGTACTTTTTGTTTTATTACCTTCAGAAAAAGATTCTCTACCATTTCATAAGAAAAAATAACAAAACTATTTTTTGAAAATTCTTGGACCCTGGTGCGCACTTTGAAATTTGGCCTCTGGACCCTGAAAGGGATAAGAAATAATGGAAATCCAATTAATCCATTTCAGACACCCAAAAGTATTAAAAAAAAATGTTTTCTATGTGAAATATGCATTTACCTACACAGAAAACAATGATACATGAAGAATAAAACAATAATAACATCATACTTACCTTTATTGAAGACATGGTGATGTATGGAAGATAGGAGGAGGGGAGAGGATGGAGGAGTTTAAAACTGTTTGGAAGGGGAATCCCACTCCATAAAGACTTCAGGTACCAAGTCCTTATCCTGGGTTACTTCCCTCCTTTGTTTTTTAATGCCACTAGGACCAGCTTGAGAGCCACTGGACCCCTGTTGCTCAAAAAAGTTTTCCAGAGAGGTTTGTTTGTGGTGTATGTTACGAATTGTGTTGGGAGACAGGACAAGATAGTCCTGTCTTACCAGCTCTACGGCTTATTTATCTAGCACAATTCCTCTAATATGACATAATAAACAATATTAATAACATAGACACATGATATATACTCTAGAATGAATAAAATATGTCATTAAGTATGTCACGAGAGTTGCTGTGTTGTTCTTGTTGGATGTATAAGGCCCATTGAGAGCATAAGCCGTACATAGTGGTCTTGGAGGCGGCAGCAGAGACGGTGGTGTTGTTAGTCGCCCTACATAACTTTAACAACACTGGAGGAGTTAGGTTCGTGCTGTCCTTTTTCTATTGATTAGTCGCTTAACCTACTTGCTACAGTTAATGCTATACTTTATTGCTGGTTGCTGCTATAGCCTTTATAGACTCCTGCTGCTTTAGTATTGTACATATTGCAGAATCACCAAAAAAGGCACATTTCCCCATCTCTCTCAGCCCTTTACCAAAGGGCTGGTTGGCACTAGAAGCTTTCTTTGGGCCCATGGTGGCTTATTTAGCAGTTACAAGCACTAAAATAATGGAATAATACAAATGTATTGCATGTACGCATGGAATCGTCCTCACTGGTTTGTAAACAGTGGAACATTGGCTGTACATGGAGTGGCCGAGCCGCTCAGGCCGCACGGACACGTTCGGGACAAATGACTTTAACCGAGTTCTTTGTTGTTAACTGAGCCAATATTTTGACACAAAAATGTGTCGTTATCCGATTTTTACGCTATCCAATGACGTCATTAACTGAGGGTCCACTGTACTTCAGCATAATGCTAATATCAACTCTACGACTTATTTACCTATCACGACTGACCTAAAGTGACATAATAAACAATATAAATAACATAGAAACATGATATATATTCTAAAAAACAAAATAAGCCATAATATGGTGAGTGATGACGGCACCTCCCGCTCCCACACTGACCATACCTTCCCATTCTTCCCCTTCTGAAAATGGAGAGTTTATCTATGATTTCATGGACATCATCCTCTTTTTCTTCTCAGCTCTGTCCTTTGCACTTACTTTCTTAGGACCCATGGCTAGAAAAAAGAAATTTGGCAAGCTTGTTCGTAATTCGGATTTTGGCTCATAACTCAGAGCAAAAAACTGACCGAGCGACGGCTCATATATCATAAGTCAAGGTTCAACTGGACTGGTTCTGAAACTAACCAAAATCATTTCAGTAGTATGCCTTCCATTCTATCAAATGTTATTTAAGAAATGGTAAACAAAATCATAAAACACCATCTTAGAAAACACCCCATCACTATTTTAAGCCGAACACATGGTCAGAGTTTTGCTTTTTCCATCATGCACTGCATGGAGTATACCTGGAGAGGGTTTCGGGGGTTAACACCCCGTGGCCTGGTCTGAGACCAGGCCTTGTGGTGGATCAGGGTCTGATCAACTAGGCTGTTACTGCTGGTTGCAAGTAAACTCATTTACGAACAACAGCCCGGCTGGTCAGGTACTGACTATAGGTGCCTGTCCAGTGCCTTCTTGAAGACACCAGGACTTTTTTTTTATACCATACACACTCATCACACAGACCCATTCTCTCATATCTAGGCCAAAATTTACTGCTCAAAGCTTACCTGAGTAAGCTGAGCTCACGACAGAGAACTAAGTGAAGGACCCTGGCCTTAATGATGTAGGTCTACATAACAGCGACTGAAAGGGTTAAACAAACCTGGAGTCAGCTAGAAGCAGTGTGGTTCACAATGAATAATGCCTAGCTAATTGCTCATTAAACAAACCTGGAGTCAGTTAGGAGCAGTGTGGCTGACAATGCCTCCATCACCTCCTCTACCTCAGTGTCAGCTAGGAGCAGTGTGACTGACAGTGACTAATACCCAGTTCACTGCTTATTCAACAAACCTGGAGTCAGAAGAAGTGGCTGACAGTGACTAATACCCAGCTCACTGCTTATTAAACAAATGTGGAGTCAGACTGTGCATTCACCTGCCTAAAACAGAAAGTTTCAACAGTGACAATGACAAAACACACAGCAATAACCTCCAGGGATGATATCTATGGAGCTTTAGGCATTTTTCTAAGTTAGAAATTGCAATACAGCCTCTTCTCACTTAGTGACGTACTTGTTTACTGAACACTCGGACTTATGACCAGCTTTCCAACCAGTAATGTATATTAGAGCTGATTTCCTCTGTTCTGTTTATTACAGTAAACAGTACACTAGTGTTTAAACATTTAAAAATATACTAGAAATGTTATAAACAGTGCAAAGGTGACATTAAAAAAATATCTAAAGATGGTTGACACAAACCCACTACCAGTATAGTATGCTCCTCGCTTAACAACCAATTCGCTTAACAATCTACTCTTAGGAACAGAACTCTGTCGTTAAGTGAGGAGAGGCTGTATTACATTCTTATCCAAGTCAAATAGACATACCTCTGTGTGTCAAACCGGGAAAGTTCATTTTGTTTACTTCCAGATAGTGTTTCAAAAATCGTAAATGTGGAACTAATGGACGCTTGGGTGGCTCCGGAAGACCAAGTTGCTGGGCAATAGTCTGCTTGCACGCCACTAACAACACTCTAATGGGAGAAATTTGTGAGAATAACCAACATGAATACAAAAATATTGAAATAAAATTTGGTTCAAACTGTAAAATAAAGTTATAAACAGCACAAGAGTGGGATATTGCAGGTTCACATCCTTTTATCTGAAATTCAAAAAGATCCGAAAACTGAAGTTTTCTCGTGGAGTGTGGAATGTCAGCCAGAGTGGCAGGCATCAGCTGTGTCTCAGCGCTTGTAGCATTCACGTGTGTGTGTCTGCTGTTCGCTGATATTTTGTTTTTGCTTTTTTTGTGGCTGCTTAATTTCACTGTGAAAATGTCAAAAAGAGCTGCAGATACCCCTATGGGTAACAGTGAGAAAAAGAAAAGGAAGCATCTGATGATATCAATAACGCAGAAAGTAGAGTTATTGCAGAAGCTTGATCATGGTGTGTCAGTGCGGTGTCTTACTGAAGAATATGGTGTTGGAACTACCACTGTTTATGATTTAAAGAAACAGAAAGACAAGTTACGGAAGTACAGTGGAACTCCGGATTTCGTCTGGTGCGGATATTGTACAATTCGGATTTCGACCACTTTTTTGGGCAAAATTTTATCCTGGGTTTCGTACCTCCACTCGAAAATCGTCCATATCAGATACGTCCGCCCGCCCGGAGTGCAGCTGCTCACATATACGTGACTCAGTCTGCCTCTGTCACTTGTTCAATGAGCAAAACTCTGCGCATTCATCCAAAGCATTTCATAATAATCTATTGTTTTTTGTGCTTGTTTATTGAGTGCCACTGTGAAATAAGCCACCATGGGGCCAAAGAAAGTTCCTAGTGCAAGCACTTTGGTAAAAAAGGTGAGAAACACAATAGAATTCAAGAAAGAGCTTGTAGCAAAATACGAAAGTGGCGTACGTGTGGCCAAGCTCGCCAGGATGAATGGATGTACATGTATTCGAAACAATAACCTCTCCTCCCTCTCTCCTCCTCGCCTTCTTCCATACGCCAACAAGAGTCTTCAATAAAGGTACGTAATAGTAATTGAAATGTTCATTTAGCCATTAAAATTAGTCATTTATATTATTTCTCAATGTTTTCTGTATGTAAGACTATAGTTGTTCTCAATAAAATGTATATTTTGTTAATATTTTTGGGTGTCTGGAACGGATTAATTGGATTTACATTATTTCTAATGGGAAATATTACTACGGTTTTCGTCCATATAGGATTTTGACCGACCTTCTGGAACGAATTAACCCTTTCAGGGTCCGTGCCGTAGATCTACGGCTTTACATTGAGGGCCCAAACCGTAGATCTACGCCATGAGCTCAGCTCACTCTGATAAGCTGTGAGCGGTAAATTTGGGCCTAGATATGAGAGAACACATCTATGTGGTATGTGTGAACCACATAAAACAAATCCTGCAGCACACTGCATAATGAGAGAAAAAAACTGAGACTGTAATTTTTGATTAAAACAGCAAATTTGCAGTGTTTTTTCATTTGTTTTTTATAGATGTATTTGTGATTTCTTGGTCTCATTTGATAGAATGGAAGATATATTACAGAAATAGAGACGATTTTGATTGGCTTTAGTAATGGAAATGGGTTGAAACTGAGCTCAAAATAGCAGAAATGTTAAATTTTTGCCGATGTTCAAAAGTAAACAAATGATCCCACACGTCTAATACACGCCAGCTGGTGGGTCTAATATACGTTCACAAATGTGGTGATATTATTTATACAGTTATTACAGTATTGCATAACAGTAAATCTTCTATTTTTTGGTTTGAATAAAAATTCATTATGTGAATAAAAAATCAATATGGAATTCATATGTAAAGCCTGAAACTGTAACTAATGAACAGAGGAAATGTTAGTTTAGTTCCAGGAATGCCTGCATTGTTTATTCTGGACCTTATTTTAAAATTAGAATATTTTGAACTTTGCATTAAATTGGCCAAATTACCAATTTCCAATCACTTTATTTTGTAGTTGAAACAGTTGACTTGGTGATTTCTTGTGCTCAATCGATAGAATAGAAGTAATACTAGTGAAATAGCTAAGAATTTGGTCAACTGGAGTAATATAATTGGCCGAAAATGGGAGTCAAAGTCAGCAAAATCGCCAATGCGTAAATATCGCTGACACAACAAAATTCGCAAGAGCGTAATTTCGTCAATTTTCCATCAAATTTCGTACTTTTCGTTTTATTACCTTCAGAAAAAGATTCTCTACCATTTCATAAGAAAACATAACAAAATTATTTTTTGAAAATTCTTGGACACTGGTGCGCATTTGAAATTTGGCCTTTGGACCCTGAAAGGGTTAAGGATAAAAACCAGGGTTCCACTGTATTATAGTGACAGTAATGACCCAAAACTAATGAAAAATAGGAAAACACTGCATACGGCAAAAAAACAAAGATCTTGACTGTGTGCTAATGGAGTGGATTTGACAACAAAGTGAACATATGCCACTGATTGGTTTGTTGGTCATGAAACAAGCTAGAATATACCATGAAGAACTGAACATTGAAGGCAAGTATCAATATTCAGATGGTTGGCTGCAGAATTTTAAGAAGCATAATAGTGTAAAATGTCTGAAAATCTGTGGTGAAAAAACTTCTGTTAAGATTGCTTAGACAGAAATCTGTTAATTAATAAGACAAATGACGCTTGAAGAAGTCCTTAAAAATGCCATCCATCAATTGTCTTGAGAATCAAGTTCCTGGTCTATAATTATCCCATTATTTCATTTATCAATATATATTACTCTATAAATAAACCGTAGTAGTATTTGTAGTCTTTATTTATCCCACTTAGTATGAGTATTCATATGCTTTTGCTGCATTGCTAACCCTTTGACTGTCGGCGTCATATATATACAGCTTACGAGCCAGTGTCGGTGACGTATTAATACGCCAAAATTCTAGTGGCTTCAAATCAAGTGGGAGAAAGCTGGTAAGCCCACATGTGAGAGAATGGGTGTGTGTGGTCAGTGTGCTCAGTATAAAAAAAAAAATCTTGCAGCACGAAGCACATCAGAGAAAAAAACTCTGACTGGGTTTCTAGATTAAAACGCCGACTTTGAAGTGTATTTTTGTATAGTATTTTTGGTTGTATTGTCATTTTCTTGGTCTCATTTGATAGAATGGAAGACGTTACAGAAATAGAGATGATTTTGATTGGTTTCACGAGGAAAATGACTTTGAAATTGACTTCAAAGAAGCAGAAATGTTCGATTTTTGCCGACGTTCAAGAGTAAACCAATGTCCAATAAGTGTCCAACTAGCCATTCTGATATGCAGTCACAAATGGGCTGACATTATTTATACAATTATTACAATAATGCAGTAGTCTGCATAACAGTAAATCTCCTATTTTTTGTGTGAATAAAAATTCAAAACAGAAAGCAACAGTAATATACTGTAAGAGGGGCCTGCAGACATGACTAATGAACAGGGAAAATGTTATTTTAGTGCCAGGAATGTCTGCATTGTTTATTCTAGACCCTATTTTGAAACTGGCATCTTTTTTAATTTATGTGAAATTGGCCAAATTGCCAATTTCTGACCACTTTACTGGGTAGTTGAAATTGGTAAATGGGTTCTTTCTTGTACTAAATCGATAGAATAAATGGAGTTCTAAAGACATAGCTATGAGTTTGGTCGATTGGAACAAGGGAATTAGCCGAAAATAGGGCTCAAAGTTGGCAAAATTGCCGATACGTAAATACTGCCGAGATCACTAACTTCATGAGAGCGTAATTCCGTAAGTATTCCATTAAATTTCATACTTTTGGTGTCATTACCATTGCGAAAAGATTCTCTATCATTTCATAAGAAAAAATAAATATTTTGCGACAGGATTTGGAGTCTCGACAGTCAAAGGGTTAATGTTTGATTATGGGGTGCTGCCCTAGATCCCACCTTCATTCTGAAACTCAAAAAATTCTGAAATTCAAAACGCTACTGACCCCAAGAGTTTCAGATAAAGGGAAGTGGACCTGTACCGTAGTTTTGTGAGGCAGATTAGGAATTCTATAATTCTGGTATAATATGGTGATGTAGTAATAAATAAAAACAATACAGGTGCTCCCTGACTTACTATGGGGTTATGTTCCAACGAACCCATTGTAAATCAAAATCGTAAGTTGAATGTGAATATACATATGATAAATAAATAAATACTGCCTTTGAGTAAGTAAATAAACAAATAATTGCTATAACTAACTAAATACACCTACCATCCGACTTACGACCGAGTTCGGTTCCGAGAAACCGTTCGTAGGTCGAAATGGTCGTAAGTCAAACTTTACTACTGAATATCAACATCACATTTTTGTAATGACTTTATTTTATTGTTTTATTTTGGTATTTCATGTTTTACTTTACTTTTTATGCTGTTAGTACTGTATTTTATACTGTAAGGTTTAGGATAAACACTGTGTACAACACAAATAGTTGTTTATTTCCCAGAAATTTGGCATAAAAAAACACGGTCATAAGTCAAGTGGTCGTAAGTCGAGCAGGTCGTAAGTTGGATGGTAGGTGTACCAATACTGAAAAGTTAATAAACGAATACAAGTTAAGGACTTGTCATCTGCATGCTGGGTAATTATCTTAAGTCTCATCACCAATGTAAAGTTGAAATATCGTAATTCAAACATCATAAGTCCAGGATCACCTGTATATTGGGACATTCTATGGTGAGGGAAGTGTTTTTGCACTCTTCAATTTCCGTTTTGTAATACTGTGGAAAAGTGGCACACCCATGTTAACCCTTAAATGGTCCAAAGAGATTGACGTTCAAATTCATAGTGCTACAAAAGTAGATCTACTTTTTTTTTACATACAGGAAGGCCCCACTTATACGGCGGGTTAGGTTCCAGGCTACCGCCGTAAAGCGGAAATCGCCGTAAAGTGGAACACCCTTTTTTTCCACTTATAAATGCATACAAACACTAGATAACAAGTTTACACTAACATATATTAAGTTAGCAATAGAACCAGGCATCAAAAAACAATA